GGGAAATATTCACTTCTTTCTTAGAGAACAGCCAGAAAGACTGGCCAGAGACAACTCTCCCTGAAATGTATGAAAAGCATTCTTTATACTGTACGACTTTGTAATTTTGGTCTTGATGAAACAGCTCTATGGCTGGTGTTTGTTCAGTTTACTGAGGGAAAGCTTGGTAAAGGGTTGGTGTCCTTCTAAACAAGAGTTTCCTGCTGTTTCCTTATTACCTTAGTAAACAAAAATACCTTAACATAATCCTGGTATTTAGTAAGAGTTGCCTTTGGTGGTTGTAACAGGAGTATTTGTTGAAATTACTGGAAACTTGGCTTGCGAGCTGAGTTTATAAGAATTGTTTGGAGATGGGCTGCTTTCACCCTCAGCTGTTAGCATCCCCAGGGAAGGAGTAGGAATGAATTTTGATGGATTCAGGCAAGGCTAAAATAAAATGTATTTTCTCTAGTAAATTGTTTTCACCCTTAGGCTGCACTTTTCAGTTTCAGTATGTGTTGTCTCTTACTCTAATGGATGTTATTTTGCCCTTTTCTTGGCTGTGGCAGAGCAGCGTGCTCATATTCTTGTATCTGCAAATCCAGCCTTTCAAACTTCCAGCGTGCAGAAGTCCTGATTTCAGCGCACTGTGTCTAATGAGCAGCTTGGGTCTCGTCACGCCTTCAGCTCCTGGCTGGGCACTGAAAGGGACAGCATGCTGAAAACGGATATGATTTTAAAGGTCAGGTCCCATAAAACATTGTGATGTTATCAGTTGCTGATAACTGATAGGGTTTCATTAACTTGGTGACTGATAGCAGACTTGTGCCTCCTATAGAATCTGGCTTTGAGCAGATGTCACAAACTCGCTCTGACTGTCCCTTCAGCACGCAGATGGCAGTCAGCCTCCCCCTGCCCTACACAAACACGTTCCTCCACAGCAGGCTGCTTTTTTCATTGGTACCCATAACAAAACCAGATTGTACTCGTACTAGAGAGTATTTATTATCCGCAGCTGGGGCTATAATTGTTTTTACTTTTTTTATTATTAATTTCTAAACCTCCTGTAAAAGCACTGGGTGTGAAACCACTGCTCCCTCGATTGCAAAGAGTAATTAATTGATCAGATCTGTGTTTTTTTTTTCTTTTTTTTTTTTTAGTGTCCTGTGGACTGAAAGCTAATGATATGCAATGTGGAGGGTATTCCTGCTAGAGGTAGTATTTCTGCAAATCCTGCAAAGAATAACTGATGATCTGTAGAGTACCACCCGACATTCAGTGAGCAGGCTGCCTGCTCTGTCTTTCCCCACACCACGTGCACACATGTACTCGCGCTCTGTATTTTATGGCATGATCAAAACCAGTCTTTGGTTAATGTTTTAGTAACTTCTTTTTTTCATTGTTCTTACTAGCAGCAGTAACATTTGCCATTTCAATCTGTGGCAGGAAGCACGTTTCCTTTCTTAAAGGAAATTTGAATGAATTTAGAGGCCACAGAAAAGGATGGCTTGCAGTTCGCATTGCTGCAGTCTCTCAAAGAAACGAGGCTACAAGACAGATGCTGATTTATTTAAAAACAACCAAATAAAAGAACAAGTCCTGTGTTTTTTCTCTTTTCAAATACGTAATGTATTCAAGCATCTAGCTAGCTCCTGTACCATTAATTCTCTAAAGATTGCATATGCACACCCAATTAGGCCTGCATCATTTATTTAAAAAATGAATGTATTCTTGTATTTATATTTTATAGCTGCGCCAAATTGTCAAAGAACATAGAAGGAGGAATTTTATAAGCGAAATGTGAAGAGTCCTTCTCCTAGAAAAGTTGAAAGCATCAGAATGGCCATACCTAAGCTTAGTTTAAAAATCATAAACATGCTTTTTTGCTGTAAGTGTAAATGGCTTTTTAAAGACCCAAATGAATGCTTGTTAGAAACTCTGCTACAGCCTGTCTTCATATAGTAGCTAGCGGAGTGGGCACCAACCCTTGTGTCTGAGCTCCTTTTGTGTTGCAGCAATGTGAGTAATCTTCCCTTTGTGTCTGTTTTGCGGGCTGCAGTGGGTTGCTGCCAGCTTGAGGGTTTAATAGTCTCAAACTATTACAAGGACATCATCCTCCAAAGGCTCTGTGAGGATGAGAGCCTGCTGCTGCTGGTGTACGTCCCCCCTCGTGCTTGTATGACTCTCCACCAGCTTAACTAAGAGGCCAGTACAACTCAGAAGAATAATTTGGATCTTGGCAAGAGACGGATGATCGTAGCCCTCTTCAGAGGATGCGTATGGGAAGGGCAACACTAATCTGTGCCCCGACAGCCCTGTTCTCCAGTAACTGAGTGCTAAAGAGGCTCAAATCTTTCGAGGCAATGACATTGTCATCTTATTCTTAGCAGTGAATTCCTGCGAGGTCTGTGAACCAGCAGTAGAGACGGTGGGCAGTAGCCGCCTGCTTTATGTCGGGGCTCACTGGCGTAAAGTTGCCATGGAGATGGGCAGGAGTTTTAGTCGAGCAGGGACCGCAGTGGTTCACCCTCTGTGTGTAAGTCTCTTTGACATGTTGTGTGGATCACATTTGGCTGTGCTGCTCACATTTGAGGTCCAGCTTGCTTGTTTGCCCGATTCTTGTGTAGGAGAGCTGCCATGGAAGTGTGATATTAAAAAAAAAGGCAGAATTGGGATTGATACCTGCTGTTGCAGGGCCCATATAAAAGCAAAGTCTGGGCACTGAAGGATTTTTAGTGCAGGTATCTAAGCCCTGTAAGCTAGAAGGAACTGTTACTTGCAAAACTTTCCCCGGCTGGAGCCTTTCTTGTGACAGCAGTAAGGATGTTGTCTGTCTGAAAAGAGAACTGTTAAGAAGCCGAAACAGAAATCTTCCAACTTGGGAGATGTGGGAAGCAGGAATCTTCCCAACTCATTTGAGAACTGGTAAAATGGATTAAAATGCGGGGAGGAGGGCAAGCAGAATGAGTGCTGAATATAAATGTCTCCTTTACATTTCTAAAGGATATGTCAGGCTCCACGTGCTCAGAAACGTTGCTGGGAAAACATCAATTAAAATGCTTGAGACTGACAAAGGCTTGAAGGCTGTTGAGGTAAACAGTGACTCATATTGGTTGAGAAGCAGGAAGGAAAAATATTTAATGGCACATACTCTAAACTAGACTCTGAAATAAGGCTTCCCAAGAGGTTGACCTTCAGGCACTGGGATTTTAGCCAGGGCCTGGTGATCTGCAGCCTTCAAAGGTGAAGAGCCAAAGTACTTTTCACTAACTGGACAGCAGACCTGCTGGGTTTACAATGCGCATATGTTTGCAGGGTGTTACAGGGAGAAACTTGTCATGTTCTTAATTTTAGAGTAAGAAGAAACAGCTCGCTGGTGAAAATATTTGGAAAGAAAGAAGTTGGATGCTTTGAAGGGGCGGGGGGGAAAGGGGGATAGAGGGCAAATGTGGAGATGGACCTTTGAACACCACTTGCTCCAGCAGCAGCTAGGGAGCCTTCCTGCATAACACTGTCCCCGACCGCAGTGTCGGTTGGAGAGGGAAATGAGGCTTCCACTGTGTTTATCCTGAAGAAAAACCTCCAGTCCTTTCAAGAGAAGCTAAAACTTGTGCATCTGGAAGACTGGTGTGAGCCTGTTGGGTTAGTGGAAAGGCCTGATAGGAAGTATCAAAAGTGCCTTCTCCTCCTCCTCCCATTTTCTCTTTGGCTCTTAACAATTTAATCCCTAGCAGTTTGTCTTCATGGGCTGTAATTGATCTGTCTGTGATTTAGCTCATCAGATGCTCGTTAAAGAGCTTGCAGCCTTTCTTATTCATGAGGAGTGCGAGTCAGGGATCTGAAAACACTTTGTCTTTGTCTTAACTGGATTCATTTAATATTCTGGGATTCAGGGAGGCTAATAAACTTATATGAGCTATTATTTAAAGGTGAGCTGCCAAGTGAACATGAAGGATGATCCAAGCACCCCCGGTGCGCCGGGTGCTCTCCGACATCGGGGGTCAGGCGTGAGCAGCAGAGCGGATTGTTGCTAAAACCCCACCAAGATACTCCCTGTGGCTCAACCCCGGCGAGATATTCCCCCGTGGCTCTGCAGAGGGTGCCCCACAGCACCCTGCCTGTGTGTGATCGGGTGATGCAGCTTGTGGTCGAGCTCCTGGAGCTGTGTCTGCAAGGAGGACGGCATTTCTTCCTAGCGGTGTCAGCAGGACGCGCAGAAATATTTGTGCATTGCATATAGAGTTTGGGCTTGACGTCTGGTTTTCTTTCTAAGCGCCGCTATTGTTCGGAGCTGCCGTCTGTACTCTGGCAGTTCCCGTAACGATGTGCGCTTCCCACATCGCTTGCACACACATGCTGAGAAAAAGCCTGTCGCCATCCTTTAACAAGGACGCGCTGGCAATCTGCAAAAGAGAACAATACCCCTGGGCTGCAGAAAGCAGTTTCCTTTCCCCGGTGCTTTAATGAACGCTTGAGATATTTCCAAGCTGGAGGAGGAGGAGACGAGACGGATGGGTTCTCTGTCCTGCTCCTTTCCAAGCCTGGCTCCACATGCCAAAGGCTTCCCGAAAGATGAATAATTCCCTGCAGTTATTGAATTTACTGTGTAGTCACATACATAGTGTCATCAAACTGGTGGTGCTTTGGAGGCCTCTTAAGAGCCCGCTCGTGGTTACAGTCGCTTAAGTTCTCTGTGGCCTTTTGAGACAGCAGTTCTGCCGGGGAACACGTGTGGCTGGATCCTGTGTCTGCACCTGATGTGCTGACTTTGCTCGCGAGTTGTGGAAAGCTGCGGCGCCTCTCGAAGCGCTGCGTGAGGGGTCTGAGCCCTGGCAGGACACACTGGCGTTCACATGAACTGACTTCCCTGTCACTCTGTGTGTCGGGATTGGGAGATCTTTGGGAACACAAACCTTTCCTAGTTGCTCAAAGTCACAGTATTTATGAATATTCTGTGCTTGTGTTCATAATTGTATATTGTCCTATGTAAATTTTAATGCCATATTTTTCTTTCTTTATAGTGTACAGAGGCCAAAAAGCATTGCTGGTACTTTGAAGGATTATATCCTACATATTATATGTAAGTAGACATCACTTTCCTTTTTGCATTTTCTAGAGCTCAAGAGAATTAGATTCTTTAAGCTCTTAGTGTTGTTGTTTCACTAATTATCCTTTTTCCATAACTTCTCTGAGACATTTTTATTTTAAAAATGAAGATGCAATAAATTTTCCTTTCCCTCCTTCCTCATATCCCATCTCTTACCCTTTTTCCTTATTAAGAAAAGTGTACAGTCTCGTTTTGTCACCCAATCCAGGCGACCTTTCAAAGTAAAAACGAAATACAAGATCTTAAACAGCTCTTATTTCAGAACACTGAAGGGAAACATAAGTAGAGCCATGTGAGGACAGTTTTCCCTTTGTTATGAACAAGGGCAGGTAATCAGGCAGAATATCCAGAAAGCTTTGAAAGTAAGTTTGTCCCTGTGCTAATACTGTTGTTTAATTTAGGGTGTTGCGATGGTTTGTTACCCGTGGCATAACCATCCTTTTTGATGAGTAGCATCTACATTCCCATCAGGCTGGGGTGTGAACTAAATGTCAAAGGCCTGTAGGTGCATGATTGAGGATCTCTCTGAATGGCAGTTTTCTGTTTCAAAATGCCTACAGCAACAACAAAAAGGTAGAGGAAATGTGTGGGTGGGAGGTGTCTTCCCTGTGGATTTGGGGACAGAAAGGAGATAAATGTACTCGACTTTGTCTGTGGGTTGTATAACTTTATAATTACCAACACCTGTAAATATAAGTTTAGGAAGAAAAAAAAAAAGTGGGGTGGAGGAGTAGGTAGCAGCATTAGGTCATCTGTTCTGAAGGACTGGAAATTACTGTAATCCTTATGTTATCCAAGAACTTCCCTCCCTTTTCTTCTCTACCTCCATGTCATCTGCTAGAAATGGGAGAGATATACTAGGGACAAAAAGCAGCCAGGAAGCCAGGTGAGAAACAAACTTATTGAGAGAATGAAATGCCATGTGGTTTAGTCATCTGTGATTCTGAATATTAACTGCTTAGGAGGTGGTTGTGCCTAGAACTCACTGGGGTTTTTTTTCAGGTGACTGTTGAGAATTACTCATAAGTGGTTGGCCAGAACAGATGGATGTATTTAAATAAGTTAATTTTCATTGCATGCTAATAACAACAGGACTTCGGTTCCACCTACATTTTACTTCGTTTTGCTGCAATGGGGGAAAGAAGGTGGGATGTCATGAAATGATGAAAATCCCACGGTACCTTGATGTGTTATTCACCATCACCTTGTTGTTCTGCTTACATTTCTGCCCACGTGCTTTCACAGCCAATGTTTGTCTCCCTTGGTAATACAAAGGGGTAGCCACTTGGATGTTGGGTGCTAGCTCAGACTCCTGCTGCAGGTAAATACGTACTGAGCCCTGCAAAAGCAAGGGGCCCAGGGGGGAGGCTCTCTGTCTGCTGTAGTTCTGATGCATGCAAGGTTGCTTTCTAATTGGTTTCCTTCTGGGAACTAGTTTACTGTTTTCTTTGTGTGCTTAAATGGAATATCTGGTAGAAAAGCAGTGTGTTTATTTTCCAGTCTGTCAAAGAAGTTAACTGGAATTGCATCCAGCTTTGAACACTGGAAGGAAGAAGGTTGTGAGAGGGAGGGGCTATGGTGTTGGTGGGCTGTTGTTTGGTTTGGGAGATAGTTTAATGTGGAGGGAAAACTGTTGTATATTGACTATGTCAGGTCAATCAGAAGACTGCTAGTAGTAGTTGTGTGTGTTTGTGGTAGATACTGCAGCACCCTGTTAATCTGAGTCATTGCATAAACTTGCTGCGATTGCCAGTCTCCTGGATAGTGTAAGTAAATGGAAAAAGGAAAGGGAAAAGGGTGGGATGTGCGTGCTCAGTTTGTTGTGATGGTGATGAATGTCCCGTTAATGCTATTGTTGTTATTGCAATTATGAGTTGAAGTGGAAAAGAAGAAACATTAAGGAAAGACAATAAGGACTTGGGAATGGCAAAGCTCAGAGGATAGATAACATGTGACAAGTGAAGAAATTTGGAAGGGAAGGAAGGGAGGGTATTTGAGTGCATAGGAGCCCAGTAGATTTAAAGGGGGCATGGATCAAAACGATGGAAAGGTCACTGATGGCTGTGGTGCCTTGGGTTTCCTACTTTGTTATTTCTGCAATTTCTGTTCTGCTCTGCTTCCTACCTGCGCTGTCTTTTCACACCTGTACAGTGGAGGAGAGGCACGACACCAATCTCAATATCTAGGGTGAAGTCCCATTGCTTTGGTACTGGCTTGACCCTTCACTGAGTTAATTCAATTTGCTAATCCCACAGAAAGTTGTTCATTTTAGCACATCTGAGTCAGTGTTGAATCATCTTGGTACTGTTTTTGGCGAACACTGGTGAAATGGGAGGAAGGGAGTATTCTGCATATTGTGGGCGAGGAGGCATGAATAGGATCTTCTGAATTAGCAGATGGTCAGATGTTAAATCATCTAAGGGCATAATATGTAGCGTTATCCTGAGGGCATCTCCTCTGTGCAAATCTAGATCTGGGCTGGGCTGTAGTGAAACGAGTTTTTTTTTATCTTACAATTTCTGGAGCAACAGTCTGTAAGAGGCAGATATATTTAGTCAAATGAGTTTGCAATAGATTCCATTCCTTTCTATCACTGGTTTCTGATGGAAGTTTTTTTCTACCCAGTTAACATATGTATTCTGTCCTTTGGTCCTGAGACTATCTTTGGAGACTTACGAAACCCAGCAGTGCAATCCTTTTTAATGATGTCCCTGTGATTTCAGTCCCATGCTGGCAGTATGTCACCGTCTCTCTTGGAGAGACAGTTTGTGTTATAATTAAAAGGTTGGCTTGTCAGCTCAGAAATACCAAGTCCTGTGTCTATTCACACATCTAGTGTGGCATGCTCAGACCAAGGCATCCTTGGTCTGGCATGTCCATATACCTTATTCCTTCTGCGTAGGCATGTCCTCCTAGAAGGTGTCTGCTGCTCTTTAAATTGCCCAGAGTATTAGAAATCCAAGGTGGACTGTCACATAAAGTGGTTGTTTGCTTTTATCGGAAGTTTAAAGGCAAGATAGCTGAGTTAATCTTTCCTGTAAAGGCTCTCCTTCAGCCATCCACAGACAGAGATAAGACTGTGTCTGCTAAGCAAGAGGAACATGGGATAAGAAATCAGTGTGCCAAAGTAAGTGTCCTAGAAATTCAGCTAGAGTGGAGGTAAAACTTGCAGTGACGTGACTCTTTCTCTTTTTGATCTTAAGTGTTTTTTAGTTTTTGATGCAATCTGTCTCCCAGTGTAGTTACTTAAAAAAGAAAGAGCTATTACAGATGTTGCTCAAAGCTTTCTTGAAACGTGTTGGTTATACTTTCTGTATTAACAGCTAGGGTAAAAGTTGGAGGTCTCAGTTACAGAACTAACGATGCATCTCTCTGTCCAAATAGTTAATGATATTAGTACCTTTTAAAAATTATTTTTCCAGTGGACATAATTGTTCTTGCCTTCATAGAGCAGTAGCAAGCTTTAGTTTAATTCAAGCATGTGTCTTCCGAATATAATTCCATTTCTTAAGGCTAGATTGAGGAATTGATCATTTACCAAACTTTTCTACCTCTGCTGTGTGAGCAAGATATAGCTTATTTCAGACCAGAAGCCATCATGGAAAGCTTGCCAGGAATTTGAGACATACATTTGTCTTCTACTGTTGATACAGAAAATTTCCGAGACTGCTCTTAACTTACTTCACTAACCTAACCAACTATTTCTCCATGTTCTAGCTGCCTGCATCACAAGGTATTGGCAGTTAGATACTTTTCTCCTGCTTCAGCAAAACATTTATTTATGAGGCCTGGAAAAATAGGTAAATAAATATAAAGCAGAGAAAGGAATTAGTCACTGGAGTCTAATCGTTATCCTCGGAAAAGCAGGGAGCCAAGTTATCCCTGACTTTGCTTTAAGAATTAGAGCATATGTCTCCTTGTATGGATGCACAGAAAGCAATTCAGAATTAAAGCTGTCTCAGCAGACTTGACCCTCATCCCCTGCAAGGTTCCTCATCCTACTCTTGCTCAAATAAGCCAGCTCAGTCTTATTCGAGACGTACCTGAAGTGCTGATGGTTGGCAGAAGAGATGGTCAAGATATTTCTCTTACTTGGCAATAATGTGAATAATGACACAGTGGGCCGCGAAGCCACCTCCTCTGTGTGCAGATACCAGCAGTGCTTAAGATACTCCAGTTGTTTTTTCTGCTTCTGAGTTGGGAATGAGTAGTAGAGGAAGACTGCCTTACATTGTGCTGATTAGGAGTAGCTTGGTTAGAATGATTGTGAATGTCCCCCTCACTGCAGGGTGAAATAAGTCCCCTGGTATGCCTGACCAATCCCATAGGTCTTTTCTGTTTATTTTTCCTCCGGCATCACATCAAAGCTTCTAATGAAGTGATAAATTCCAAATGCTAGAACCTCCGTGTTTCTAATCCTCTCCTTTCCAGGCTCCATGGCACGTTTATAAAACAGCAGAAATGTTTTTGAGTATGAGTGGTAAGCATGTGTCCACAGCAATAAAAGTGCTGCATCTGGTGTCACTGAGTCAGTGAATCAGTCCTCCACACAGGGAGGGGGGGGTTGGCTGACTTAGAAGGAAAAAAGTTTTGATGCTGTCCAGTACTGAGTTAACATTATTTCAGCTCGTCCTGTTGGATTGTTGTGTATTGAATTTTTAAATAATGTGATATTCTAAGAGAAGTAGTGAGGAAAAGAGAGTAACTTTGCTTAGGGAATCGGAGAATAACTCAGATGGGAAGTGTTCTCAGGAGACCTCCAGTCCATCCTCCTGACAGATCTGAGCAGGGTCAGCCATGAGGTCAGACCAGGTTGCTCAGGGCTTTAACCAGTTAGGTCTTGGGAAAACTCCTAGGAAGATGATGTCACAACTTCTCCGGGCAATGTGTTCTGCTGCCTGGCTGGTGGATAAGTTTTTCCACGTACCAAGCCATAAGGTCTTTTTGTTTCAGTTTACATCCATCGTTTGTTC